AGCCTCTCTCACAGCAACATTGAGAAAACAATGTTTCTTTAAGGAGGTAAATTGGGGAAAAGTAATTCTAAAAACAAGGGACATGGTGGCACTGCAGGTTAAACCACTGAAGCCTCTGAGCTGCAAAGTCAGAAGACCTGCAGTCGTAAGATCGAATCCATGCAACAGAGTGAGCCCCCGTCGCTTGTCCCAGCTCCTGCCAACCTAGCCAATATGCGAGTAGAGAAATAGGTACGACAGAAGATTGTCTTTGGACAAACGTTAGCTCTATGGGTTGGAAACGGAGATGAGCACCATTCCCTTGAGTCGGACACGACTGGACAAATTGTCAAGGGCAACCTTTACCTTTTACCTAATTCTAAAAAAGTAAGAAAAAGAATGATCTCAAAGGCACCCAACTATGTGTTTAAGAGGAAGGATGCCTATAATATCTATCAATAATATCTAATATAAATAAAGAGTGTTAACACTGTGTGTTTGTAACGTTTGTGCATTTGATATGATTATGTCTCTTTTTATATGATTTGTTGTAAGCGATCTTGGAAGGATTTGTATCCATCTGGGCAGCTAAATCTACCCAAACCATCCTCATTTTGAGGTTTTCCAGACAGGTCAGGCTACAAACCCCAAAATCCCCAGCCAGCACAGCCAAAACATCTGGGGCATGTGTGCTGGATTGCTTACATCTGGCTCCTGGCCACCATGACAGGCAACCATTGATGGATTATTCTCCTATCTATGTCTCTTATTTCACAAACCCGTCTCATCTGGAAGCCATGCCTGTACCTTGAGGGCAGGAAGTCCATGAATCAAAGGGCAGACAATTTCTAGCTGTCCAGATGTTGTTGAACTGCACTTCTCATCAACCACAGCAATCACAACCAGCAGAGAGAGATGAGGTGGTTGCAGTCCAACAGCATCTTGAAGGTACTTCCCTGCCACAAAAGAATAGTGCAGTAATGCTATTACTTTTATCAAATGACTGTGGGTGATATCAGGAGACAACAAGAAGAGCAATACTGTATACAGTTGTGCTCTCACTGTTTTGTTGTCCTCTCATCCAGGCCTTCCCTCCTGTCAACTACTGATTTCTTTTGCTTTGCTATTTATTATTTATTTATTCCTGCACTATTTGTTATTGTTGCATGCTAACATTTTTGTGTTTTTTAATTGTTTTGATATTCTGTAAGCAGCCCAGAGTGGTAGAAAATACCAGATGGGTGGGATATAAATCGAACAAATAATAAACAAACAAACAAACAAACAATCTCCCAAAAGAAACCCTAATAATAATCTTGTGCCATCAAATCAATTCTGACAAAGGGTGACCTTTTCAGGGCTTTTCAGATAAAGAATACTCAGAAGTGGTTTACCCTTCCCTTCCTCTAGGGGGCGCCCTAGGACTGTGCAGCTTGCCCAAGGCCACCCAGGCTGGCTCTTTTCCCAGGAGGCCCCATGGGAGAATCAAACTCCCAAACTCTGGTTCCACAGCCAGATGCCTAAACTGCTGAGCTAAGACAGTAGCTAAAAGAAACCTTATAGATCCCCTAATGTCTGCAGCCTTTCCTCACAGACGATTTGCAAAGAGCAAGCCAAACTATGAAATGACTGACCCAGTTGCAAATCCCCCTAGCATGCATCACCATAACAATGAAAACAACAACAACAATCAACCAAATGACAATCAAGTGCATCCATGTTCCTGAAAAACCTTTTTAAAAGGAACCAGGTAGTAACTCCCCCGCCCCCTTTGACCAAACTCTGGGAGGCAGTGGAAGACAGGAGGGCCTGGCGTGCTCTGTCTGGTCCATGGGGTCACAAAGAGTCAGATATGAATTAACAACTGAACAACAACAGCAACAACAAAAGTAACTCCCCATCTTCCTGGTTTTGCTCTGCTGGAGTGCACAGATGTTTGCATAGCGCAATGGTGCCATCCACTGGCCATGTTGTCTGGATCGCCCACTCAGTTGAACACTGAGTGATGTTCCCTCTTGCCCCCCAGCTCGTTCTTTGCTCCCCTGGAACTGAGGTGGCTGGAGGGCAAGCAGGGAATTTGTGGAAGTTTTAGTAAAGTGCTTTAGTAAAGTTTGTTGAAAGTGTTCCACTCTCTCCCTCCCTTGGTCCCCAAGAATGGAGACAAAACTGCACACCCATTGGGTGGGGTGGCAGCCCCTGCTTTTAATAACTAATGGAAGAAGGAGTGTAGTTCACTGCAAAAGATAATTGGACTGATGCTCTCTCCCTTTTGCTGCCCTCCACTGTAGCTGCAAACTCTGCTCTGGTGCAGCAAAGATAGACGGTCAGCCCGGGTGTTTGGGCAATAGAGATGCAGGCCCCTCCCTCTCCCCTATTCAGAATGAGAGCAGAGCCTTGGACTAGCTAGCCTTGAACCAAGCAGAATCCAATCTAAATTCCCCTGTTAATTCTAATTAGAGTAATTTCATTAGAGTGAATGAAAGGGACTAGAGATGGGCACGAACTGCCAGTTTGGCAGTTATGCTGGTTTGTTTAGTGGCTGGACAGGTGTTCAGTGCTTCAAAGCCCCCCCTCCTCCAGGTGCTGCCTCAGAGTGAGTGCTCCTTGGAGCAGGCGGGGCTTTGAAGCATTGAACACCTGTTTGGCTGCTAAATGAACCAGTGTGAACCTCTGAACTGGTGGTTTGCGCTCATCTCTAAAAAGAAACTTAATGCTTATGCAAGTCCCACGGATTCACTAGGCTAGGACTCACCACTGGATGTCATTTCCTGTTGCCCACTTATGTGCAAGAATTTTAAACAGTTTTATATCTTACCGTTTTTATTTTGTTTTAATGACTTATAAAGATCTAAGCACCCTTTCCCCCCACTCCAGAAACGGGGACTTCTGGACTCTCCTAATTTCTTCATTTAAAGAATTTTGGAGGTGGGAACAGCTCTCAAAACTGGCTCCCAGAGACTGCCAAGTATCATACACTCTGTCCAAGGTTCCTAAAATAAAAAGTGGAATGGTAGAAGGAAGAGAGGCTTTGTGCCTGCGATCCTTGCTGCAAACGAGGGTGCTCCTTGAATTTTAGGGCCCAGGATTTAAGTGTGCCTGCTTTCTCTGGGAATAGTCAGAAACTGCTTTTCGTACACAAGATGTTCAGCAGCATGACAGAGAATGTGAGCATGCAGTGTATATGTGTGCTGACTGCCTGAAGCCGATTAGTAGCTGAAATTAGGTTGGGAATAAGAAATACATATTTGTCCCCTTCCTCTAAAAAGGGCCATCTCCAAATTTAAGGCATGCCAGAGAGAAATCCCAGGAAGACGCAGAGAAAACTAGAGCAAAACAAGTGTTTTAAGCACAACAGGAAAATCCTGGTGATCTGCATCGAGCCCAACACTTGATTAGGGAAATATATCTTCCTGGTGGGTAGTCAGGATTAGGTCAGGTGTAGAGTCAGGATTAGGTGTTCTGCAGACGTTGGGGAGTGGTAATGCAAAACAATCATTTTCCAAGGTCTGAGTACCCCCCCAACCGTCAGGACCTTGGACAGAGCCTTACAAATGTTTGGCTTCAATGATGCTTCCTGGACTTGACCATAAGTGTATCTACATTGCTCAATTATAGCAGCTGGACATCCATTTAATTGTTGTGGTATCACCCTAAAGAATTCTGGGATTCATAGTTTGGTGAGGTAACCAGAATTCTGTATTGTAGTTCGGAGGGAGTCTGTGCTAGGTACAGTATTTATAGCAGAAGACTCTAAATCCATCACCAAACCAGTAATTCTAGAGTGGAGAGCTGTGGCAGTTATCAAACTGTGGTACCTGCATAGAGCAGATACATTTTTATGTTTCTCATATTCTGTTCTGTTTCGAAAAGTGGAGGGTCTTTCTGCAGCTCCTTTCAGATTTTGAAAGGCAAATATGCCATGGGGTAGAATGATGGTGGCATTAGATCTTGTTTTTGGATTGTGGGGCAAAACTGAGAATTTTTTTTTTGAGGGGGACTTTTGCATGGTCATAGTGATGATGGTGTTTGGTTTGGCCAGACAAAGGGCTGTATTTGTAGGCTAGAGTTCAGAAAAACTGCTACTCTTAGAGTCCCCTATGGACATGATAGCTGAGAGGAAATTGAAAGTTTTAGGTGTGAAATGTAACTTTTGAAACCTAGGCATGTCCCTTCACATGTTGTTGACTTCAGTCCTCTAAACATTTTAATGCCACCAGGGAAACTTCTTTCCAACATATGCTCTTCTCCCTGGCTAGTTTAGAATTAGAATATGGCAATTACAGCCTCACACCAAACCTCCTTGATTTTTTTTCCATTTAGCACACAGTGAGGCTGGGAAATAGCCACTCCCTGTATATTGCACACTAATTACATATAATGACAACAACATGTATGCTTCTCGAAAGCCTTACAGAAGAGATTAGATTCTTCCCCCATCGCCATGAGAACGTGAACCCCAGCTCCCCAAACTAAAGAAAGGATCAAAGATGCAAAGCTTCCCCCTCCCTTCCCCATTGTTATTGCTAAATCTGTGGTCTGCTGATTAGAAAAATGTGTGTGTGTGTTTGTGTGTGTGTGTGAGAGAGAGAGAGAGAAAGAGAGAGAGATACACCACCATTTTAGGTACCAAATGACATTAACAAATGCAGTGTGCTGAGTGTTGTTTTACTCATGGAGAACAGGGTAAATAAGGGAATAGCACATACTTGTGTGGCACTCTGACAACTGATAAAATCATCATGTTTGTGGTCTGCTAGTGTTCAATCCCGCTCTGCAGACAGATGGCAAAACAGACAGACCTTTTGCTGCCCCTTACATGTTTCGAAACAGCTGTAGTGACATCACTCCTCCTCCTTCTCTCTCGCAGACAGATGGCAAGACAGACAGACCTTTTGCTGCTCCTTACATGTTTCAAAGCAGCTGTAGTGACATCACTCCTCCTCCTTCTATTATATGTATTCAGAGTCAAGGTAGACCCGCTAAGCATGGGAAGCAACACAGCACCCCCTTCTGTCCTTTTGGAACCGACTAGGCATTGCCTGGACGCCGGCTAGCTCTTCTTCTCCAGGCTCCCACACTTTAGCTATTAGATCCCTTTGGGTCTACTTTTGTGATCCCTTTGAGTCTACTTTTGTTTTTGTTTCTGTGTTTGCCTTAAATCTGTCTGTTTCAGTGACGGAAGCACACAGCATTAATAGCTAATTTGATCTTTCCTTCTGCCACTCACAAAGCAAGATCACCACAGCAATGCAGGATGCAGGTAAGAAAATAGCATGGACTACATTCTAAAGGCTACAGCTAAAGTTGGTAGGAAATGATTCTGCTTTGGGGAGGAATAGTTACTGAAACAGATGTAAATAGATGCTTTCTGTCTTTCCAGGAACAAATAATGGTGAAAGGGAAGCATGAAGAGAAGATTTAGTATTTAATTTATTTATATAGAATAGGTTTTTCATTTCTTGATTGCACTCCTTGTTCTGCCTTTGGATCGTGATCCATGGGCCATAACAACCAAGACCATTCCTTTCATCTGTAGTTTTAGGAATTCCCCATAGGGACTATGTTTTCTCACAAATTTAATACTGATTCAGACTAATTCAAGGGTGGCGTGGGGATATTCCAGGAAGACATAATCTAATAGCTAATGTCTTAAAAGGAGACAAGGCTCAGTCCCATTGTTGTTTTTGTTGTTGCTGCTGTTGCTGCTGTTAGTGGTGGTTGTGATGGTGATGGTGTTGCTGCTGCTGTTGTGGAAAAGCAAAGAAAGCAATGTTTACCTTTAAGAAAAGAAAACCCCAGCATCCACAACTCAGCAATGCCTTTATGAGAACCAGGGACAATATTGAACACAGTGAGAAAGCTTTCGAGTTCACCCACATCTTTGAAATACAAAGCTTGGGGAAAGGAAGAAAAATAGGGGACAAAACCCCCAAGAGCAAAATGTTGGCTTTATATTGCATTCAAGTGATCCCCTCTCACAAGACCTCCAGATATGCTGGACTACAACACTCATCACTGCCAACCATCATGACCAATAGGATGGTAGGGCACAGTCCAAAACATCTGGACAGCACCAGTTTGAGGAAGGCTGTTGTCTGTTTGTTGTGACCGTACGATTTGCATCTAAATTATGTGAGGGAGTGAGGAGATTTCAGATTCAATTGGATTAATCTTTAACAAATGTTACACATGTCTCAGATTGGCCAAATTCAAAGTGCAGCAGGAAGACATTAGAAAGGAAAGCCGAGTGCCCTGCGACTTGCCATAAGCCCCGAAAGCTAGCCTTCTGCATTCAAGTGAGGTGGACCTGCTCTCCCACCTTCATTGATGAAGAAAGTTTCAGATGCTGGTACAGTTAGCTCTCATACAGATAGTGTGAGGAGGCACTGTCTTCTGCTTTGCTTCAAGTGGCAAATGGTCTTTGATCGGCTTGCCCTGGAAACAACAGAGGAAGAGCAATGAAGTGGTAGCAATGTGAGCAACAGTATACATATGCCAAGCAACAGGTTTCTTGTCAGAAAAGACCAATGTTTAATAAGGAATAGGTTGTTGCTGATGATTGTAGTGCTGCTGCCGCTATCACTCAAAAAGGATGGAACTGAAATCTAGGGCTGTATCTATTTCAGTTTTTAATGCGTTGACTGATTTTAATTAATTTGAATGTGTTCATATATTTGAAGACTGTACACAATCTTCAGATATTGTACATCATCTTCAGCCACTAGATGGCAGAATTCTCCAACTACTGCAGAACTTTGTAGTCAACATAATTTCGAAACTGGGGAGATTAAAAATCACAGAGTTATAGAGACCCCAAGATTAATCAAGTCGATCCCTCTGGTGAAGCAGGAAAGCCACAACTAAAACATCCCTGACAGACAGCTACCTTACTGCTATTTTAAAATCTCAAATGAAAAAGAGTCCATTACCTTCTGAAGCAGCCAATTCCACCATTGCATAGCAACTGCAGCCAAGAATTTATTCCTAATGTATATGTTAAATCTCCTTCCCCATAATTTGAATTCATTACTTTGAGTCCTACCCTCTGAAGCTACAGAAAACAAGCTTGCTCCATCATCCACATGGTATCCATTCAAATATTTGAAGATGACTACTGTATTATATAACTTCTCATTCTTCACTTCTCACGGTTAACATGCCCAACTTTATCAACTCTTCCTCACAGAGCTTGGTTTAAAGATGTTTAACCATGTTGGTTGCCCCTCCTGACATTTTCTGTCTTCTTGATATCCTTCTTAAACTTTAGTGCTCTGAACTGGGCAGAGTACTCTAAGTGAGACCTCACTCAAGCAGAACAGAATGGTGGTATTACTTCCCTTGTGAGAGGGTTCTAGGGATGCAGTGCCTCAAAAGACAGCCCTTTCAGGTAACTAGAGCGAGCATAGCCCTCCCTCAAGGGGCTGTAAAGGGGTACACTGGAAACAACTAGGTCTAGAGGTCCCAGTGGATATGGCTCCAGTCTGATGGGGTGGATTGAGTCTTACCTTGGAATAATATTTCAGGTTAATGTTCCATACTTCCCTAGAATGGCCATTCCCCCCACACACACCTGAACAATGGGATCCTAACCTCTGAACTAGTTATTGTGACCACCTCATCAAGATGGTGAGATTCCAATTAAAGTGAATCAATATAACCACGTCTTAATTTAGGACAAAATGAGAGGCCCTTTGAGTTTGGCTAATAAAACTCAATTATGTTTGTAGCCAGCTATAGAATGAAAGACCTTAGTGGAAGTCTAGGAAGGGAAACCAAGATCATCCATAGGTAAGTGCACAGGGAACATTTTACTATTTCTTGTATTTTGGACTCATTTGGGTCTTTTTGTTTTACATGAAAGAGAAAGCCTCTTTTGACCTTTTCATTTGTGTTTCCCCCTTCATGTTTTTTGATACTCCAAAAGCTCTAGGGAACCCATAAAACTACTCCAGAAAAGCAGAGGCAGGGCAACAGATAATCAGTCTCCTGTAATCTATTCCAAAAGCAGGCAAAGATACAAGGCACAGTCACAAAAACTACCTTCTGGCCCATATACCTGCACAGAAGCAAACCAAAAAGTCCCCAAAATTTCTCACTGAAATATAGGCCATTAGCAGAATGCATACACAATAAACTAACTAATGTTAAAAAAAATCAAACAAGGGAAGTACTCCCCTGCAGGGGGGGGGGATAGTAATAAAAAACCACCATACAGCTCTGTCTCTCAAAAACAACAACAAGAAAATAAAATTAGCAAATAAAGGTGAAGATGGAAAAAATTCTCCAAAGAAAAACTACTGCAATATGGAGATATTTCTCCTCACCTTCACCACTTGATGCCTTCTTTCCTTTTCTTGAATCCAGCAGGCAGGCCAGGCAGCTGCAGCAGTGAAAATACTCCAAAATAGGAAAGGGCCAGAGACAGCGTGAAGGGGGAGGGGGGGAGAAAGAGAGAAACAGGAAAGGAAAACAAAAAAGATATTTTGTAATTTTTTAAATTCAAAGTATTTTGTAATTTTTTAAAAAGAGTAAATGACCAAGTTTAACACCAGAGCACCTTATCACTACACTGTTATAACAGTTTAGTGCTAGATCACAGACCAAAAAAAGATTAAAATTGATATGAAATAGAAACAACTCCAATGAACTCCAGCAGACTATTACATTTCTGCAGTATGTGTGTATGTGTTGGTACCTGGTGGAGAGCTTTGGAAAACTGGCTCTTTCCCCTGGCACCATGCCACGCTTTAAACATCCCACCAACTTTACCATTTCCTCCAAAAGGAGAGCCAGGGAGGGGCATTGGGTGGACTCAGAGGAAGGGTGGCTGTGGGCCGTGGTGTGGAGCAAACGGCATCCATTTGAGAGGCCAGTGGGGACACCAGCACAAAACTTATCTGCAGTCTCCATGGGATCACACAACCCAAAAAGAAGCATACAATGGGCTGTGAACCAAGCTGCAGCAAAGCTGAATCACTCCAATTAGGCTTGGCAGTGTACTTACAGCCCGAGAGAGTTTTCAAGTTGGATATAAAAGCTGGGACAGAAGGGGCCAAAAATTCAAAACACTTGCTTTGTAGCTTTTCTTCCTTCTGTTCCTGGTCCATCCCATTCCCGAGAAGTTTCCCCTTAAAGCTGGGAAGTTGACGGCATGATTAATTTTGTTTGTTTAAAAGATGCACCTCCCACTGACCAGCCAAACCATATTTGCTGCAGCTTATTGCAACATCAAAGAGCACAGGAGCAAAATGCAAAGCAATTAAGAGATGAGTGAAATTGGCCATCCAACAACATCTGCATAATAAACCGGATGGTTATATTGTCCTGAGGGCTTGGATGGAACATGAAACTATCTTAAGTAAGCAACAATATGCTTCATTTTTCAGCTCTCAGAAAAGGTGTTTCATTGGGATTGAACCCAGAGTCCGAGGATACAGAATTGGGGATGGGGAAGCAGGGTGGCATACCCACAGCGCTCTTTGTTTATGGCCATGTAGGCATTTCTCCTTATCTTCTCGTATGCAGAAGCATTCGGCTTCCTTTTAATCTCAGGTATTGAAAGAACAAGTTTTTTTTAAAAAAAAAAATACCCTCCATTTGTCTCCACAGTACCCATAACAACCAGGGTCAAAGGAGAAAGGACATTTTGTTTTGGAGAGCAGGTTTTATTATCGTTACAAGATCAGCTTCCTTTGGAGCTGCTGCTGAGCCTGGCTGCCTCCTTGATGAAGAGGCGATTTTCAGGCAGGTGAAACAATGAGGGGACCTGATTTAAGAACCCCATGTCACTTGTTCCTCAAACAGGAAAATGTTTCTAAGGCAGAATGGCATTTCCCCATCTAACCCCTGCCCCAGATAATGCTAGATTAGCTGCTTTCATTAAGTACTCAAGCTAATTAGAGCACTAGTGGCATGCCAGGGGTTGGGGTGGAAGCTAGTGTGCATTGTATCTTTGCTCTTTGGGGGAAATTTTCCTCTTGTCTTTCTCCTCATTAACTGGCTGTCTGGGTGGATAATAAGTTGTTTACTTCATTTCAATGCATGCCAAATTTGAGCCATGGCATTACTTGGTTGGTTGCCTACCAACCAATCTGTTGTGAATGGACCATCTCTTGTTCTCAGGACTGGATGGAATTTCACAGTCCCTATGCCAAGGTGGTCCTAAGGAGCCATTTTACTATGGGCAATGCTCCACAACACAGGTCAGGGCTGTCCTTGGTACTTGGTATTCTTGGATGACTACCAAGGGTCCAAGCCACTAGGAGGGTCCACAGTTGAGATGTACTCTGGGTCTCCTACTTTTTTTCCCCATGGCCCATTGACTCAAGAAATAAGTCTAGTTGTCATGCCATTGTTCCACCATGTCAACATGGAGTATCATAAACCCATCCCCTCTTGTGTGGTAGGACATGCATCTGAACAACAAACATAATTACGGAATAACTTGGTGGTTTAGGTTTCTCTTTAGGTTGGGAGTTCATTTTCCCACTGTGCCTCCTTGACAGGAACTGGATTTGATCCATAGGATCCCTTCCAGCTCTGGAGTTCTAAGATGATGATGATGATAGTCAAAACAGCTGCACAATCCCAGATCTGCTTGTATGCACATTTGGGGCTCATGATCCCCTTTCACCTTTCTCATGGCTGCCAAGCAGATGTCTGCAGGAATCACCTGGCGGACACACATACCTGGGTCTTTCTATGTTATTGATTGGTCAGTCTGAACCCCCTGTCTGGGAGCTCCTCTAAGAGTCCCTGTAGTTGTGGAAGAAACTTTGATGGCTCTCCTATGTGACTGGCAAAGGGGCAAGATGGGTCTAAACTGTGCTAGAAAGACCCAAGGGCCCCCATTGCCACCTAGAGACTGCGCTGGTGAGTAATTCTGAGAATTTTGGTAAGGAATTTTAGGTTCTTGATAATACAATTCAGTGGGTTGTGTTTTCTTAAGCAATTGACCATTCTTGAAATTCTTTCTTCTAGTTCTTTCATAAATTTACTGACTTTGCCTCTAGTATCTATTCTGCTATGTCACCAAGAGTTTCACCTCATTCATATGCACACTAACCAGATTGTGAAAATGTTTTTAAAAAATGCTCCAGAAAAGGGATCTGCCCACAAGCATACCAGGCTGTGTTCTCCTTTGTGCAGGCTAAGGATTATTCTAAATAATACTGCTTGCTTGCTTGCTTGCTTGCTTGGTTGGTTGGTTGGTTGGTTGGTTGGTTGGTTGGTTGGTTGGTTGGTTGGTTGGTTGGTTGGTTGGTTGGTTTAACTAGACTGACGATCTGACCAATGGATTCTCTGGGCAGTGTGTAACAATAAAAACAAACTATACAGCATATAGCATAACATGTACAACAAAGCTAAAATTAATTGGATACCTGAAGGGATTAAACTCAGACTCAAAACAGAGCATTTAACAATGGCATATTTCAGGGAAAGCTAAAATTAATCGGATACCTGAAGGGATTAAACTCAGAGCATTTAACAATGGCATATTTCAGGGGGCCTGCCGAAACAAGAAGGTTTTCAAAGATTTCTTCAAAACCTCCAGGGATGAGACAAGCAGATCTCCGGCAGCAGTTTGTTCCAAAGCAAAGGAAATTATCGTACTTTGGACATACCATGAGAAGAGAAGACTCACCAGAAGAGACAAGAATGTTGGGAAAAGCAGCAGGTGGTAGGAAAAGAGGTTATATCGTGAGACGGATTGTCTCAGTAAAGGAAACCATGGTTCTGAAGACCTGAGCAGGAATATTAAAGATAGGACCCTTTGGAGATCATTAATTAATACAATTGCTCTTAAATCAGAAGGGACTCAATGTGGCATAATAAGCATCTGCAAGATCTCCGTTTCAAACTTATTTTAAAATATTTTCTTTAATGCTTTCATTTTAGCTGCAACGTGCCAGTTTTTTTCCAAGACGATGCGCAGGTAGACAAAACACTGCCTCCCTTCATCAGTCTCAGTAGGAAACCGACAAGCAGTGCTGGTGCTTGGAACCGGTCATTTTGACGCAAGGACTCCCTGCTTTAGATGGTAAGGTGTATCCATTCCCTTATTCCAATGGGCAGTCAGCCAGCCCTGCCCATCTGGGAGACCCTCCAGCTTCTTCTGCATTTCCACCGGAAACTCTAGCGAGGGATGTGCCGTCCTCCTCCCTCCTGTGCTCACGGAGCTGCATGTGTTAATAGGGCCCTGTTTAGACCTGCCGTTAAACCTGAAGGTCAGAGGGCTGGAACAGGCAGAGAGGTTGGCTTTGGGGGTAAGGCTAGTGGGTGCTGTTTTGTTTCCCAGAGTTTGGAAAAGTTACCTGTTTGGAACAAACTCTTAGAATCCCTGAGGTGGAAAGGCTATTGGCACTGGCTGGGTGGGGGATTCTGGGAGCTGTAGTCCAAACAAGCTGTAGCCCACCAAGTCTACTGCTTTTCCTTTCCCTGTATTACCAGACTGTGTGGAGGTGTTTTGGCAGGGAATTAAATGATGAAGATATGTTTTATTTAGGCTAGGAGGTGAGAACTTTTCTCAGCCTGTGGGCTAAATTCTGGGACAGAAAGAAAGCTGGATGTGGTTGGAGGCTCACAAATGTGTTGCCTTTGGCTAAGGAGTAAGGGTGTAAATCTTCACTTGCATAATTCTCACACATGGATAGAAGGAACCCCCAAAATGTTCTCCACACCTGTGAAAGGGCAAGATGTTTCTTGTCAGCCTCAACTGTATATTTTTTCCATTGGCAAGAACAATTTCTGTGCAAATAATGGAAATCACGCAAAGACACAATGGCTACTGCCTTGCTAAAAATTACGAGCACTGGATGGATTGTTTGAGTCTTTCTGATCAATTAGACCAGGGGTACCCAACCTTGGGCCTCCAGATGTTCTTGGACTTCAACTCCCAGAAATCCTAGCCAGCAGAGGTGGTGGTGAAGGCTTCTGGGAGTTGTAGTCCAAGAACATCTGGAGGCCCAAGGTTGGAGACCACTGAATTAGTCAGTCTTTCTGTACTTTGTGCTGCACATATGTATGTGTGCGTAGCTTCATAAAGTTCTCCACAAAGACATTTTGCAGAAATCTTGACATTAAAAAAATGCATGTGCGTCATTCTCTCACTGAAGACAAGGAATGTGGCTGGGCTTCAAAATGCCTCATAAAATGACTCATGGTGAGATATACTAAATGGATGGAAATAAGGACTTTGGGCATCTCCCTATCTCTATTACGTAGACCATTGGATCAGATGGGAGTGGTGTCCACCTCCCCCCCCATTCCCCATCTCTGTCCCACTCTGTGGTTTCCTTTCTTTGGTGAGTTTTGAGATCATTCTGTTATGGATGATGACTCTATGTGCCACTCTCTTACCAAATGGTCATCTGTCCACTCAATGCAAGGAGGGGTCCACAATTTGATGTGTGCTTTCCTCTCAGTCTTTGCTAGGTGAGCTGAAATTGTACTAAGCCATGGAGGGGCACCAAGACATCATCAACCAAACAATCAACACTCTTGGAAGCTCTAAAAGGAATCTGACCTACTCTCCCTATTACCAGCACTCCCTGCCCGTCGCTGTCCTCTACATCGTGGCCTACCTGTTCATCTTTGCCTTGTGCGTCGTTGGGAACAGCCTGGTTTGTTTCATTGTATTAAAAAACCGGCGGATGAGGACAGTCACCAACCTTTTCATTTTCAATCTAGCCATCAGCGATTTGCTGGTAGGCATCTTCTGTGTGCCCACGACACTAGTGGACAATTTGATCACAGGTAAGTGAAAGGGGAACATCTGTATGCAGCCTCTAAGTTTCTTGTCCTGTCATGTCCATATATTTCCTAGAGACCTCCAACTTGCCCCTCTGGGAGGAAGGATGCTGGACTGGATTGGACTGGGAATTCTTCAGATTTATTTAGTTTTTTTTACTTACTTATTACTTTTTTTAACTTATTAATGCCTTGAGCCTCATGGTGTAGTGGTTAAATTGCTGTGCTGCGGCCAAACCTCTGCTTATGACCTGGGGTTCAATTCCATGTATCCAGATCAAGGTTCACTCAACCTTCCATCCTTCTGAGGTCGGTAAATTGAGTACTCAGCTCACGAGAGGGGGGAGGGCAAAGTGTAGCCTGCATAATTGAATTGTAAGCTGTCCAGAGAGTGCTTTAAGTGCTATGGGGCAGTAGATAAGCAGCATGCTTTGCTTGTTTGCTTATTAAAATCGAGCTCTAACTACTGGATGTTACTGTCTCCTAGGATGGCCCTTCAGCAACAGCATTTGCAAGATGAGTGGGCTCGCGCAGGGCATGTCTATTTCATCATCAGTCTTCACCCTGGTGGCAATTGCTGTTGATAGGTGAGAGGAGGCAGAAGACAGGAATTTGAAGTGGCATTCAAGGTGGTTCTCCGCAAGGCAGTGGGCAAACTTCTTTCTTGCCTTTCTTTGCCACACACCAGGCAACAAGGGAAAATAGCCGTCTGTTAGTGATGGGTTGGTGGCATTGCTAGAAGTAATGGCTGCCTCTCACACTTCCTGCTCTGAGGTAAAGGACACTGTCCCTGGAGTAGTGGAGGGGGGTTGCTGTCATCTTTTCCAGCTGAATGGGGGCTTGGCAGCACTGCAGACTTCGGGGACGTGGCCAATATTAAACACTCAGGCTACAAATTAGCTTAGACTTTCCATCTGTGTAAGTAAAATTGCATTTTGCAGTGGTGAATTGCCATAAATAACATAGTGCCAGTTATGAGATGTGCACATTTTCTGGCATGGGATCTCATCACCTTCAAAGTCATGTTTGTGCTTGGAAAGAAAGAATGACTCCTACATATCTTTACTGTTCAGTTCCTCCTGGCCCCTGCACAGGTAAAGCTCTAGCCCAGTGGTGTCCAACCTTGGGCCTCCAGATGTTCTTGGACTTCAACTCCCAGAAATCCTGGCCAGCAGAGGTGGTGGTGAAGGCTTCTGGGAGCTGTAGTCTAAGAACATCTAGAGGCCAAGGTTGGACACCACTTCTCTAGCCTTTGAGGTCATTCAACAGCCCTTGGTCCCACCTTTGTGCCTTTCTTCCCTGGCTCCTATTTGCAGTGTTGAAACAACAAGGAAAAAAAGCAACGGGGTTGGGGGAGACTGGAAGAGAGAGGAAAACCCAGTAGTTTGATGAGGTTGGTAAAGGAAGCCTGGCTATCCCGGGCACCCTAGGCTAGGGGTGACAACATTTGGCAATCCAGATGTTTTAGGTGACACCTTCGATTGTCCTTTATCATTGGCAACGCAGGCTGGGGATTCTGGGAGTTGGATTCTAAAACGTCTGGAGTGCGAAAGGTTTGACAACCCTGCCGTAGGCACTAACACCAGCAAGCAGGGATTGGTATTTATACAACCACATCACAAAGTGAGGGCGGGGGGAAAGGAAGAAAAATGGTGGTGAGTGGGGGGGAGGAAAGACCATTATGCTGTTTCTCTGCCCCATAGCATTGCACCAATACCCCTGATTTCAATCCATTCTTCTACCTTTGTCCAAAGACAGTGCACATACCTAAAAATGAACAATACTGACTAAACATTACAGCTCAGGATGCCATAAGTAGGTGTCAATGTATCTGAAACTCCCTTTTGGGACTTTTGAAACAAATAAACATCATCTTATACCATCCTGAGAGGTGTGTTTTCCATATGTGGGTTCTAGTCAAATGCTGTCCAGTTTTCCCTACCTTTGATAGAAAGCAATGCCTTTGTTCTCTGTTCTATGGAGAACCAATGTGCAACAGAAACCTACTTTTTAATGCTGTTACTTCAAAGTGCTGGCTACAAGGACACCTCTTAGGTCCTTCTCTCTGTGCAGAAGTGTGAACGCAGCCCCAATGTGCAACAGAAGGCATCCTTTTTAATGCTGTTACTTCAAAGTTCTGGCTATAAGGACACCTCTTAGGTTCTTCTCTCTGTGCAGAAGTGTGAACGCAGCCGCAATATTTTCTACCACCACTAACTGTATTCTCCTAATTATTCCCCCTCCCCCACCTGCAGGTTCCGTTGCATTGTATATCCATTTAAACCCAAGCTCACCTTCTTCCAGGCTCTCAACATCATCGCCGTCATCTGGATCCTGGCCATTGCTATCATGTGCCCTTCTGCTGTTATGCTCACAGTGGCTCAGCAGGAGGACAGCTTCATGGTATGGGAAGACCACCCAGGGACGACATATCCCTTGTACTCCTGCTACGAGGCCTGGCCAGAAAATGGGATGCGGAAAGTCTACACCACTGTTCTGTTTGTTCACATTTATGTTGTCCCTCTGGCCCTCATTATGTTCATGTATGGGAGGATCGGGTTCAAGTTGTGCAGGTCCTCAGGCCCAGTGAGCCAGCATCAAGTGGCAAGTGAAGATCGTAGCAAGACCGTGGTCTCTAGGAAGAAGGTGAAAATCATTAAAATGCTTGTCCTTGTGGCACTGCTTTTCATGGTCTCCTGGTTGCCCCTGTGGACATTGATGCTCCTCACTGATTATGCTAACCTGGATGAGTGGGACATCAATTTGTTGGCTGGCTACATCTTCCCTTTTGCTCATTGGTTGGCCTTCTCTAACAGCAGCATCAACCCCATCATTTATGGCTATTTCAACGAGCAGTTCAAGAAGGGCTTCCAGGCAGCCTTCAAGCTCCACATATGCTGCCATGAGATGGTTCCTCAAGAGGTGTATGCTGAGAGGACCACAGTCAGCACTGGTGCCTTTAGTGCTAGGAATATAGTCTTCACTGATGGGGAGTCATCAGATTCAATCTGCTTGAAGCATTTGCACCCAAAAGGCCGTTGCTGTCCGCATATTGGCCAGAGACAAGGTCTTCAACTGGAGGAGATCCCTGATGTTAAACCCCCGAGCAAAGTTTACAAAGCTTGGGATGCCTAAGGGCGATTGGTGGTCAGAATTTTTTTGGTGAACTCATTGGCTTTCCTGAATCAACCATTTTTCCAAGCTTTGATTAGGACAGTCATTCATTCATAATTTTTGTGAATTGTTTGTGTTGTGGCAGGACCTGCCAACAGAAGTGAAAAACATATTTTGAAGGACTATCCTCTTCTTTATTTTATTTTTTGTGCAAAACTTTTGCGTCCAAATAAAAATAGATGTTTGCATTTATTAAAAAATGCAAGCATGATTTTATTTGCAATTTAAAGGCATTGATAAGACTAAATTGTTTTGTAGTAATTTAATGTACTGTATAGTGTTTTGATTGATTTGCCATAGCAGGAAACCTGAATTGCTGCTGGATGTGAGGATATTAT